TACAAGTCACCACCACCGCCCAAGGAGCCATACTACCCTCCACACAGTCCAGTTTACAAGTCGCCACCTCCACCGACTCCAGTTTATAAGTCTCCAACTCCACCAACTCCTATTTACAAGTCGCCACCACCACCTAAGGAGCCATACTACCCTCCACACACCCCAACCTATAAGTCGCCATCTCCACCAACTCCCGTTTACAATTCACCACCTCCACCAACTCCAGTCTATAAGTCACCACCACCACCCAAAGAGCCATACTACCCTCCACACAGCCCAGTGTACAAGTTGCCACCTCCACCAACTCCTATTTACAAGTCGCCACCACCGCCAAATGAGCCATACTATCCTCCACCAACTCCCGTTTACAATTCACCACCTCCACCAACTCCCGTTTACAATTCACCATCACCACCAACTCCAGTCTATAAGTCACCACCACCACCGAAAGAGCCATACTACCCTCAACACATCCCAGTGTACAAGTCGCCACGTCCACCAACTCCTGTTTACAAGTCGCCACCACCACCTAAGGAGCCATACTATCCTCCACATACTCCAGTCTACAAGTCTCCACCTCCACCAACTCCTGTTTACAACTCACCACCACCACCCAAGGAGCCATACTATCCTCCACATACCCCAACCTACAACTCACCACCTCCACCAACTCCAAATAAGTCACCACCACCACCGAAAGAGCCATACTACCCTCAACACATCCCAGTGTACAAGTCGCCACGTCCACCAACTCCTGTTTACAAGTCGCCACCACCACCCAAGGAGCCATACTACCCTCCACACACCCCAACCTACAAGTTGTCACCTCCACCAACTCCAGTTTACAACTCTCCACCACCACCAACTCCAGTCTACAAGTCTCCACCACCACCCCACTATCTTTACACCTCTCCCCCTCCTCCCTACCATTACTAAGAAGCGATTTCATTATATCTGAGGTAATTAAACCAAACTAAAACTTTTCATTATGATATGTCTATAGAAGTTGCACAATTTCTTCGTGCAAATCATTTATATAGACCTATGCTGTCTACATCTTATTTGGTTTAGGTTCTATTATATGTTCTCATTCACAATATTATATTCTTATGCAGGAAAGCAGAATGTTGAGCTAAAAGAAAATGAGCCCAGACAGGAGGCAAAGTACTTTTGTAGCTTCATTTTGTATAAGTTATTGTTTGTACCCTATATTATATTTATATTTTACTTCTATTTATTTGTGAAATATGTTTGTTCGATCTCCATGCAAACTGCGGAGATTATGAGATGTATAAAATAAGTTATTACTAAATGGTTTTATGTTTCCCTTCTCTCTACTCTTTCTTTTGATCCTTTTTCTTATTTTGTCATCCTTATATTGAGTTATTTATAAGTTGAGGCTCTCATCAATTACATTAAATCAGTTGCTATAAAAATGTGGTTTTAACCGTCAATAAATTCAATGATAAGATACAATAAAATCTAAGTTACAATAAACTGGAGAATATTAGTAGCTCCAATGTAAGTAACAATTAATCAGGAATGTTAACAGCTCCGTTGATTAGTAACATTGCAATGACAATTAATGTAAATATTATATCTAACCTCTGGACTTATGCCCACATAATTTCCCAAGTAACCCTTTTGGGGAAATATTTTTCGCAAGTAAAACCCTGTTGAATTTTTGCAGTCCACAAAGTAATTAGTTCTTGAATTGACCATCGTGAGGAGAAAAATTAGAGAATTACATCTTTTTATATAAAATTTTATAAAGGAAAAAGTAAATGCACCCACGCAAATTACTGAAATTAAATATTATTACTTGTCCTATTTCTCTTATCTTGACTAGTATACGTGCCCGCGCAATGCGCGGTTATTTTACTAAAAAATTACACATTTAAAGAAGATAACGACAAAAAATTAATATGATTTATGTGAAGTGCTCTTAGTACAAACAATATTATATGTTCTACAATCTTTACTGTAACAATTATTAATAACAAATTTTTGTATTAAACCATTATGGTACTTTAGTTTTAAGCGAATTCATTGTACAATTTTCATATCATCCCTAATACTCTTTTTGTAAATATTGTTTGTTCTATGGTTTAATAGTTTTCCTCGTATAAATTTTTACATGTAATAGAAATAAAGTTATATTAATTTGAATCCAAAATATAAAAAGAGATATTCCTTTTTTCAATATTTTTGCTTATTAAAAATCTACCGAAGAGTTTTTTTTATATAATATGTGATAAGATGCTAAAATTTCATTCCACTTTATTTTCAATTTAGAATTTGAGATTATATTCAAATAATTTAATTTCCTAAATGAAAATTTAGTTAATAATTTGAGATTATATTCAAATAATTTTATTTCCTATAGAAAATTTAGTTAAATTTTTTTTTCATTGTGTTGCTAGAAATTCTTTCTTATATAATTTTATTTATCCCTGACTTTATCTATTAAGAATTAAGTTACATGATATTATATATTGCACGACTTCTTTATACATTATAATTCTCTTTTTTTGTTCTTTTTCTTCAATGATATTTTTACTAACTTTTTCATTTTTTATTTCATTTATGGTTCAAATAATGTCATTACTAAACTCTGATTTTTGAGTTTTACCTTGAAAATTGAAATATCCACGTGATAATTTTGAATTTTAATTTTGTTTAAAATATCCATATAGTATGATTTTTTTTAATTTCAAAATACTTTCTCATCTCAAATTTAAATGTTTATACGTTTACATTGAGATATGTATTTATATGTTTTTCATTTTCTTATTCATATCTATTGTTATTGTGCTAACCATTTGTCATGTGTTTTTTTTAAAAAAATAATTCATTGTCCTTCTCTATTACTCATCTTCTAATTTTATGTAGATAAATATATAACTTCTTACTTTCAAACTTATACGAAATTCTTATTATACTTTTATTTTATTAATCAAAATTCTTTCATTATTTAAATTTAACAAATGTAATTTCAATTACTATATGAAATATAATCTCATCCAAATTAGAGGGTGATTGTAGTATATTATAGCTTTTACAATTAAAATTTAATGACTTTTTAGCATAACTTTTATCATCAACGAAGAATGGAGAATGAGGAAAATGCAATTTTTTCTTTAAAAAAATAAAATAAAAATAAAAAAAGTAAAATTTATATCAATAATTACCTTAAGGTATGACGGCATCTTCATTTGCAAAACATCTCAAGTCTTTCATCTTCTCCGTCAATATTCATATTGATTTTATTCTTCATCATCATCATTATTTATATTAATTTTATTCTTTAAAAATGAAACCTATTGAATCGTTAAAAGAATATGAAATCAACATAAATAAGGAACGCCCATCAAATTTAAATGGTCATTGAGTTTAGTATGTATATTCATCTAATAATCTAATAAATCACTTAAAAAGAGACAATTTTAATTTAACATAAAAATGAACAGAAAAAGGCTAAATTATCACAAAAGAAAATATTAGATGTCATGCAAAGTATTAAATCGACGATACAATTATCATAGCAGTAATTTATGTACCAAAAATATTAAAAGATGGCGTACATGATCCACTATCGTAAAATTCTTCAGAATTCCTCCATTTCTTTATCATT